AGCCACCTCAACTGGCTCCTTTCGATGTGGAGGAGCAGCGGCTCTACTCTGAGCTCCTCCTGCGTGACTGAGCTCCTCACCCTATCTCTAAGGGAGAAACCAGTCATGGAGAAATCAGCCATGTTTGTGGTGTTTGGAGCTGAAACACTGGGAGACACATTGTGGACTTTCATTCATTTCCTAAAGAAGTGGAACAATATGGAACCTTCAAGATGTTGGCATCCTCAGAATATAGAAGTTTACTCACTAAACTCTGATGTTTTTCCACTTATGTCTTCATTTCTCCTGCAGAGAGACGTGACGGTGACAAAGACTTTGATTCGCCACTTCTGAGTAAGACTTTCTAAATATAACTCATTTTATATACAGTCATGGAAAAAATTATTAGACCACCCTTGTTTTCTTCAATTACTTGTTCAGTTTCATGCCTGGTACAACTGAAAGTACATTTGTTCAGACAAATATAATAACAACAAAAATAGCTCGTAAGAGTTTCATTTCAGAGCTGATATCCATGTTCCATGGTTTTCTTGATAATAACCAAAACCACGTAAGTTCTGACATCAATATGGCATTGTACTGCCAAACAGTGCTTTTAGGCATTCCATGTTTTCTTTTCTGTCTGTTTTAGTCACATGATACACACAGGAGTTAGTGTTCTGGAATAAATTCATTATTATGTGCAACGTGATCATTGCCAGAATTACTTCCTGCTTTTCTATTCCAGTCTTATTTTAACGTGGTTATTTTTATGTTACCACTGTACCCTACTTATGTCTGATGGCTTTTCTATCTGGCACAAGAACTTCCTTCACGATGAATGAAGGTCTTTATCACCTTAGTGCTGGTGGCAGGTGTTACAGTTGTGTTTTTCCTGCTTTAACCCGATGACTGTTCATGTACATGTGGAAATTTAAACATGCTTTTATCTTTCAGAAGGTGGCAACAGACTGGTGGTGAGGGCCGGCAGTGACGTCGTTTTACCGTGTTCCTTCAGCACTAAGAACAACATCGAACCGATTCGGTTTGTCTGGAGGAAAAATGGTCGACAGGAGGTGTTTCTGTACGACGCCGGCAATCATTACAATAATGGACGTCAAGGTCAAGACGAGCAGTTCAAAGGACGAGTGTCTCATTTTCCAGATGAACTAATTAACGGCAACGCCTCCATCATCATCAGAAACACACGACAGTCTGACAGTGGAAACTACACCTGTGATTTCCTGCATATTCATCAAAGATTCCACATTGAGCTTCTTGTTGGTGAGTTACTTGTTGACAGGTTTGATTCTTGTGAACGGTTGGTCACATCTGGGAGCCCTTCAAACGTATAATCAGCAGCAGTAATAGCAGTTGTGGATGTTAACGGTTGTTTTTTGACTGGTCAGACTTCCAACAAATCCAAAATGTAATTCTGACGAGAAGCACTTCTATTTCCGGATATTTACAGTATTTCAGTTCTCACAAGTCAAAAGCTTGCAATAAAAACGTGTACATTCAGGAGTAGGGGTTAACAAGAAGCGTGAGTGTTACACTACAAATGTTGTAACTGTCTCGTATAAACTGATGTTTTTTCTGTGTTCTCAGGTGTGTCTCCAAGGCCCATTACCACTCTTCATGAAAGAAGTGATGGAGTGCTGCTGCAGTGTGAAGTTCTTGGTGCTTCTCCAAAACCTGTAGTCGAGTGGTGGGACAGTGATGGAAACATCCTTCCTGCTCATCAACCAACGATCACAGAAAGAGGAGGAAACAAATATGACGTTATCCTCAATGCTACTGTGACCAAGAGCGGCGACTATCGCTGTGTGTCCACACAGAAGGAAATCTACAGTCAGATTTATACTGAGACGTATGCCCCTGGTCCTGGTGAGTTCTATTTAAATATTTTCTTATTGACTGTGTCTTAACAGTTATCACACATTTTAAGGTGTTTACAAGTAAAACAAACCAAATGTTTCTCCCGACGGTACAAAAGGGAACAAAGACAGTTGTGTTAAACTGAAAGCCTTCAGATGGTGTCAGGTTTGTACTGAGAGTCCACTTCATGAATCTGCAGAGAAAATAGGAGGAACTAGAGTCTGTTGAAGTAAAACAACTGGAGTTGGTCAGTTCTGAGATCAGTCTGAACAAACACACAGTTTATGTGGTTCACAAGGTTTTATTANAGTATTTATCAGGTGAAGAAGTGACCAAATGATCAGACAGAAATGATGAAAACGATCAATCTGCTGTGGTTCCTGACGGTGGTTGGATCAATCTACTGTGAAGGTAAAGGTGAATATTTTTAAATGATAGAGTTTATTTCCGTAGACTCGCTCCTGCAGAGTCACATCAGTAAAGTCCGACAGAACAGGACGGTGTCAGCATGAAACGTGTTTTCAGGTGAAACAGTGAAGTCTGACGGAGTTGGAACCGATTTAAAGCAGAATTTAACACCAGACAGTAAATGTTCTTTATTGATGTTAGTGTTTAAGATGAGAAGCTTCTGTGTGAATATAAAACATGGCGGATTTACTTCCTCAATGAGAAAGTCACAGGAAGTCACAGCACCGGGAGCGACGCCAAGGTTCAGAACAGACACCATGAAAAACAGACATTAAAGTCAAGTTAACGTTTAACTGTCTTAACATTTCCGTGAAGTAAAAATACAACAACACACTCAAATATATATTATTTTCTTGAGGACGGTGGTTTGCACCGTCTGTTCAGTAGTCCACACAGGACTCCAGACTAACTTTATTTATTTATTTCCTGTGACCGACTTTTTCATTTGTTTGCAATTCTCACATTGTAACAGGAAAAACATACGACTTACTGAACGTTTTCTTATCGATAGACGCTACAGTTTACGATGTTTAAGATGACTTTAAAAAGAGTAAACCAGGGCGCTCTAATGTCACATTTATCCCAGATGAAACTCAGGGTGTTGTTTTTTTTGTCATGCAGTCTTTTCTATGAGCGGAATAAACAGCGCATGTGAATGAAAGTACTGTTTTCCACCAGTTGGTGGGACACAGTTGTACCGCCGGTGATCCAGTTAAACTGACGATGTTTGCTGTATTTACCCTCCAGATGTTCGGTTCGCAGATTAGGCCGGACCAGGCCTGTCTGTGTGTGAAGATAAAGACACTACATGAGAAGAAAGCGCTGAAAAACGTGCACATCACTCGTTAATAAAGTCCATGTCAATATCATCTACAGACAGCAAAACCAAACGGAACCATGTAGTCCAGATGCAGAAATACGAACTCAGCGTTTTACTCACTGAGCCACCGATCAGCTCGATTAGGATCCCTTCTCGGTCCAAAGGGAAAACTCAGAGTTTCCCTCATTTCAGGGTGAACAGACTCACAGTTTTCACTAAACCTGCTTT